ATACCTGCAGCTGGGCTGCTCTTTGTAACTGCATGGGCTGACAAGCCTGGCTTGCTTTCCACACATTTAGAAAGCTAATAGCTAAACACCTTGACAGCCAGCACAACAAATGCATGTCATAATAAGCAATTGTTGATCGGGGAGACATTCTGATGGTGTTTGGGGAGTAACTGAATTATATGCACTGATGTGTTTGAATTTTAATTGTTTACCAGTTCACTGGGAGTAAAATATGGCATAATAAAACAGATGATACCCCATTCCTTGATATCCCAACTTTCCTTGAGTATGACCTTCCTCCCAAACAACCTTAATCACCTAAGATGAAAGGCAAAGTATAAGGACTTTTATGATGCTGCTCATAGCACTCATGCAATGTTTCACTGTCGCTATGGATAATACACCAAGAATAAACAGCATGCAAATAAGTTTAATTACTTAAGAGTTTGACTCTCCTCCATCAAACACATTCTTCAGTTAATCACTTTAGCTCATTTAGAGAAAATGACAGAGGATATAATGCTTAAAGTGTTTAATGTCACCCAAAGGATGCCAGCAAACATTAATCCATACAAAATTATCAAAATATCTGAAAGTAAGATGGGATAAACAAGTAACCAGGGCACCGTTCTAATCATTCGATCAACGATCATTTTCAAAAATCCTAAAGAGAAAAACTTTTTTTTTTGAGCAAGGACACCAAACTTGCTCTATCCATGAAAGATAGAGTGGAATTCATTCAAGGCATCTTCCAGTGTAAGAAACACAAACATTTCAAGTAGAAAAATATATTTACCCCACCCCCAAGAGATTATGTATTTGATGTTTCCATATAGTTTAATCTTTCTCTATTAAGTTAAAAAGAAAATCTGAAACGTCCTCTACCCTTCATGGGCAGTACTATTTGTCTGATTTAAGGGTCTCAATTATAGAACTTGAGTGGCAAACGCTCTATAGAATTATGAGAGTGGGAGGGAACAGAAGTGGCCATAACTCCACTCCTTTGCCCCCTAAGTGGGATTCAAAGCCATTATCACAGACAGCAAGAACATAAAAGACTAACCCCAGATATCACAGAGAAATGTAATATCAGCAAGGAGATAATTGGGGAATAAAGGCGCTAACTAAATCAGTGTTTGACTGCATGGTTATGGATGACAAAGATATATCGATAGAAGGCGAACCGGCTTCATTAAGCATGGCTCTTTAGAGGAAGGGAGTTTCTCCCTCTCTGGTGCATTAAAATACATGGGATAGAGTTTTGGGTTCATTCCTTTGAAATACTAACATAAGTGCTTTTTCTGAAGTCTTCAGAAAATCTTATTTCACTTGAGAGGAATATTTTAGATGAGTTGAATTGGAACTAGGTAAGCTCTAAAGTATAAACCTTATGATATTCCGAATCTTATCTTTATTCCACTTTATTACATCCTATATAATAAAAGGTTAATATGCAAATTGTCCCCTCGACCCGGAGTTTGTCCAGGAGTTTGACCAGGGGGCATGGTTGGCCAACCGCCTGAGGCTCCACCCCCCAGCCAGGTCTGCCCCCAATCGACCTCCCTACCCCGATCAGGGGCAGGCTGGCCGGCCAACCTACTGCATCCCCTCCCCGAGGCCAGCCCGGCCGGCCCTGATCGGGGCAGGCTGGCATGAATTCGTGCACTGGACCTCTAGTGAATATTTAAACTATAGTGCCTATGATGTGACATCTACCCTGGATCATTGAATTAAGCTTTAACAACACTGAGTTGTCCCTTGTTTTTTTCCTTTTCATATAACATCTTACTAATTGGTCTAATATACATAATTTGTCAATTGGGCAAGAACAAATAAATCTTATTCTGTAACACTATTTAGTAAGTATCATAAATAGTAACTAATATTTATGGAATAATTGCCATATGCCAAAAATCTTCTAAGTGCTTTACATGTTACTTTATTTTTTGCATACAACAAAAGTTTATGAGGCAGGTACTATTCTAATGTCTATTTCCTAACGAGAAGATTGAGGTACAAAGAAATAATTTGTCTTAGTCACTCAGCTAGCAAGAGGCGGAACCATGACTTGAGTTCATTTACTCTTGCTCCAGAGAAGCCACCATTCTAACAAATAGTATTATAATTTGATTTAATTTTTATAGACGATTATCTGTCTATAGTGAAACTGAGTGATTTCTGTTTTCTCCTTTTATTTCCTTGTGCAGCAATCTCTAAAATTTCTACAATGAGCACTCTAAAGAGTCATTTTTTCTTTTAAGTTTGTACAAGATAGAGAAAAGAAATATTCCAATGGGAATTACCATGAAATTCAGCTTCATGAATAAAATGAGCAGGAATGAAAAAGTGCAATGTCCTAAACAGCAAATAAAACCCAAATGAAGTGAAATGGACTTTTCCATTTATCATTTCTTAGATTTTTTTTCAGGACCTTAATATTGGAAAGTATCTCTAATTATAACATATAAAAACTTGAGGAAAAACTTGTCCTGAAATCTTTTATTTATTACCAGCAAAGCATAATCTTATTTTATTGCCTGGCAAACTTGGTTTTCAATTCCCATTACAACAGATGATGGATTAACATCTAACTTTCTCTTAATTACTTTATAGAAGCGAAGCTTTCTCTTTTTCAGCTATTAAAAATACTATGCATACTGACATGACTTCAAAAAACACCAGCACAAATTCAATGGCACACTTCCAGGAACTAGATAAAACCCAACCTCCAAAGTCTTTCATCATTTATCCCATAGAGCAGTAATTCTTACTGACGTATAGGCAATGGAGGGTATCAGAACTTGAAGTCAGTCATCCCCCCTTATCCGAGGGGCATACTTTCTAAGAACCCCAGTGGATGCCTGAAACCTCAGACAGTACCAAACCCTATATATACTATGTTCTTTCCTATACATGCATACTTATGATACAGTTTAATTTATAAATTAATTAACAATAACGAATAATAAAATAGAACAATTACAACAATATACTACAGTAAAAGTTCTGTGAGTGTGCTCCCTCTCTCTCCTAATATTGTACTATACTCACCCTTCTTGTGATGATGTGAGATGACATAATGCCTGCGTGATGAGATGAAGGGGGGTGAATGATGTAGGCATTGTGACGGAGCATTAGGCTACTCTGAGGGTATCACAAGCATTTCCATGAGTTGATCTGATAACCAAGATGGTGGCTACTAAGTGACTAACGTATGGGGAGCGTATACAGCGTGGAGACGCTGGACAAAGGATGGTTCACATCCAGGCCTGGAGCAGGGCATTGCAAAGTGGTGAGCCACTTAAAACTTATGAATTATTTCTGCAACTTGCCACTTAATATTTGTGGACAAGTGATTCACTGCTGGTGACTGAAACTGCAGAAAGCACAAGTGCAGAAGGCAAAACTGCAGGTGAAAAAGGACTGTTGCCACAGGTTCTCTGATGTTTCTCTAGTAGGGCACCCCCCGACCCCCAATCTGCAGAATGTTGTCCAGGTCGGTGGCATGGAGACATAAAGATCAGGACAATGTCACAAAATACTTGTTTAACCCAGGAGAGAGTGGCTTTTTGACTAAAAGGCTAGCAACAGTTTATTTCTTGGTCACTAATTTAAATATCATCTTTGAATCTCAGGCCAAGTTTCAATTCATTTATTTACCCCCCTTCCCCCATCCCAGGAATTCATCAGAATGGAAACAAAACAGAGACTCTATTCTTCGTTTTTGAAATGTAACTTTTTCCTTCAGTAGGTGAATAGAAAAGCTGTTGTAAATCCATGTAGTGCAATATTAGTCAGCAAAAAAAGAAATTGGCTATCAAGCCACAAAAAAAGATGGAGAAACAAGGCCAGACTATGGAGACAATAAAAAGATAAGTGGTTGCTAGGGAGGGCTGACTAAGTGGAGCACAGGGGATTTTTAGACTATTCTGTATGACTCTATAATGGCAGATACATGTCATTATTCACTTGTCAATACCATAAAATATAGAACACACACACAAAAATGAGCCCTTATGTAAACTATGGACTTTAGTTATTATTCATTTATCAATATTGGCTCAACAATTGCACGAAATGAACCACACTTAAGATCCATCCAAGAAAGGATAAATCTATCAGAGATAGCTACAAAAAGTAAAAGAGATTTTATCTGACCTTTAATCCTTAGGAAGGGTCTAGTACAGTGGTTCTCAACCTTCCTAATGCCGCGACCCTTTAATACGGTTCCTCATATTATGGTGACCCCCAATTTCATTGTTACAAATTGAACAGAATTAAAGCATAGTGATTAATCACAAAAACAATATGTAATCATATATGTGTTTTCCGATGGTCTTAGGCGACCCCTGTGAAAGGGTCATTCGACCCCCAAAGGGGTCGTGACCCACAGGTTGAGAACCGCTGATCTAGTAGGCAGGTGAGGGGAGGGAGGGCATGCCCAGAGGGGAAACAAGAGCAAGGGGGTAGAGGTGGACTAGTGAGGAAGAGAGGCAGGCCCAGAGAAAGGAAATGACTCCAGGACTTAAGGAAAGTGAGTTTTAATAGACAGAATGAGACTAGGTTATTAAAGTCCCTGAGAAGCAAGCAGATGAAGTTTATATCTGACTTAGTAGGCAGTAGGGAGCCTTAGCAGGTGTCTGAGCAGGGGAGTAATACAAGATACAGTCAATCCTCATTACTCATGAATTTTGTATTTGCAAATTTGCATATTCATTAAAATTTATTGAAACCCCCAAATCAATATTCATGATCATTTTGGGACATGTGCAAAAAATTTTAAAAAATAAAATTTAAACCCAAGATGCTAATAATAGGAGAAACTATTGGGAGATCGGGGCCAGGGGATACATGAGAACTGTCAGTACTTTCTACCCAATTTTTCTGTAAACCTCAAAGTGCTCTTGAAAGAAATCTATGAATTAAAAAAACAATTAAAAAGCTAAAAATAAAAAACAAATCAATATGTAAAGAGAGAGAGAGAAAAAAAAAGAACTTACTTTTGGTTTAAAATTAGCCACTCCCGAACATAGGTCTGAACACAGTCCTTGACATGAGGGTCCAGTTCAACCCTAATGAGATGGGTAATAAAATAAAAACATGTTGTTACTGTGCAAAAACAACAAAGCAAGGCCTTATCATAACTACGGAGAGAGCAGCACGGTTTCAAATCCATGTCAAATGAGAATGCTTGGGGCAATCCTTACCCAGTCATTCCAAGTGAATTCCTCAAGCAATAACATTTTTACTTTGATGAAAGATATGTTGGCATTTTATGCTTTGTGGGTTTTCTTTGTTACAGAGAATTGTGTTCAACCATACTTATCCCTAAAGGCATTCTGACACAAGACATGTAGAACTAGCTGTAATCACATACAAAACAGGAAAAATAAGTATAAGTACCATTTTTACAGAGGGCATAGTTTTTGTTCACGTGTAACCTTGTTAGAACATGCATGTCTTTCTTTTTGAAAGCCATGGAGAACAGTGTTCTTATGCTTTGAGAAGCTCACAGAAAAAAGGAGACATATGTACTACCTACTATTTGTAATACTTTAAACAATAAAATAAAATTTAAAAAGTAAAAAAAGAAGTTGACAGACACTGGCTTTGATTGGTGATCATTGATTGGGGTGGGTCTTACACGTCACGAGAGATACTCTTCAAATGCTCCAGAGTCTTGAAATCAGAAATAATTAATTTCCCACAGCAACAAAGTTGTTTTGCTATTTCCCCCAATGTTTTGGTATTAGAGATAAGTAAGTCCAAGTACTGCAAGTTTTAATTTTCTTGTTTGTAAAAAGGAGATAGGAACAGTACTTACTGTGTAGGCTTGCTGTTAGTATCAGATGAAGTATTCTAAACATTAGCCACATGGTCCCTGGGCTCTGCGTGTCTATATCTAAGCCCCACCCCTTATCAGCTATGTGACCTTGGGCCAGTCACTCAACCCTTCTGTGCCCCAGTTTCTTCACCTTAAATTGGCGATATTAACAGTGGAGCGTGTCCTTTAGAGAGCTGTGATGAAGTTTAAATAAGTTAGCATGTGAAGTGCTTAGAAGAGTGTCTAGCACATAAGACCTACAGATGATAGTTCATACTTAAGTACCATTTACTCTGCATTAGGCACTGATGTAATCACCTTAAAGGTAGTAATTCAGTTAATTTTCTATCAGCCCCCACAGGACAGGTGCTATCATTATTCTCATTTTGCAGAAAAATGAGGTGAGAAGGATCTGGCTTAAAGTCACCCAGGAGGTGGTAGAGCAGGGGCCGGAACCCAGGCAGCTCACCTTTGGAGAGCAGGCTTATAATGACCACCGATCACTGCTCAACACAGAGTCTCTGGGCTAGGCACAGGGGGCTCAACAGGATCAGCTGTTGACTCTGATGATGACCATGGTACCTTGTTGGGCTTTAATGACACAGAAGTCTTTGAGGCAAGGATTGAAATAGTACCGGTTGTTTTCAAGTCATCAGACAGACAGTGTTAGCTATAAATTTCAGTAACAAGGTAGTATTACACTAAAAAATAAGGCTAAGAAAAATATTACCTCCTCTATCAAATCTCAAGAAATAAAAATCCTCCTACCCCTAAAGTATTTTAAACAGGTTCTTCCAAGATCCCAACTCACTTGAAGATAATTAACCATAAATTTTACACAAAGAAATCAAATTAAATGATTCTCCTAAGAGTAAAAATAATAGACACTACCTACGTTAAAGTCAAACCTGAATAGAAGGACTGATCCTTAGGGGAAAATGTTTCCAAAGGATCACGGAGTTTTTATTTTGTGGGAAGTGAGTATTTTCAAAACATTAAGAACTGAGCATGTGGTCAGCTCTATGCGAATGAGAACTAGCTAAACAACAGAGCAAAGGGTAAAAAATACCATGTCACTGTTCACTGTCATCCAACTTCCTTAAACTGTAATAAAATGAAATCCAAACTAGAATCAGAATAGCCCAGAGTAATGAGGGCAGGGGCCATGTTTCATGATCTTCTTTCTGGGACTTTTTGGGGAAGAGGAGGAGGTTGAAAATGTCCAGGAGGATGTGAATGTTAACTTTGTTTTGAAAATGAATGCAAATCAAAGTTCATCCAAAATCTCCAAAGAGACATTGCTTTTTACACTACAGAAGTAACAAGTTTCATTTAGATAGAATTCCATTGTTTGATAACAAGAGCTAACGCCCATACCTATAAACACATAGACTAACCCACTGTGGAAACTCAAGCCCTAAACAGCTATTCACATATTCACTCAACAAAGCTTTCTCCATTGCTTTTCCACTTGACAAAAGTTTCTTCAAGGGAAGGGAAATTTGCCTTATTCATCTTTTTATCCCACTGCCCAACACATAGTAGATGCTCAACAAATGTGGGTCCAACTTATGTTTATAACTTGATTCAGTCATTAACCAATTAAAATGCTTCTTAATGGAAGTTTAAAAAAATTTATGAAAAATCTTGACATATTTACAAATGGAGAAACTGAGGCTTCCTGGGGTCACATGACCCGCCCAAGGTCACTGAGCTGACTCCAGATCCCGCACTCTTCACCTCTGATGGAGCATTCTGTTTTGTCCCACTGCACCCCTTTAACTGGCTGAGCTCTTACATGACTTTTCAAAGCCTCTGGTCAAACCAACTCAAAACCTGTCTACATGTAGGTCTTTGGGTTATCGTAGTCATCCTGCACATCTCAACAGAGCTGAGTAATTTAGTTTATTTTTAAAAGAAGTCCAAAATTAGAGCACCTTTCCCCTTACCAAGAACAGGCCAGTCACAATCCCATGGACAGTTTAAGAAAACGATTTACCCTTCCTCCGGCAAAGAGGGCTGCAAAGTCCGACATTCCTTTGGCGTGAACACCACATCCAAGTTGTCTTCCGTGAAGTCTCCCAGCTCCTGGGCCAGCTCCACATCCAGGTTGTTCAGGTGTGTCATCAGAAGTCCTTCGAAGTCCACCGGCTCCACTGGGTCATAAAACTGAGGCTGCAGGGGCAGGGAAAAGGAAAAGGAGGTTCCCTCTCGGTTTTCAGATAGAAGCACTAAGACAACAGTAGGTGTTGGTCCCCCTACCCCTTTCCACTCAGTACAAGTGCTTTACTCTTAGCTCAGAGGAGCTGTCACACACAGAGGCAGCGATATGGAAAAGAAACGCAGCTCGGAGAGTCGAGTCAGAACACGGTGAGTAATTAAAATCATACCCCAAGGCAGAATTTTTCTCTGCTTAATTGCACCTTGATGAGAAATCCTGAGGAGATCCAAAATGAGATCATAAGGCTTTGCTGCGTTTTTACAATTTCTCCTGCAAACACTCTCTGAGGCCATACAGTGAAGTAGAAAAGAGGCAATTTTCCAGAAATGCAGGCAAACTCAACAACATTCCTTTGACTATTTCAGCATGGTGTTTCCTTTGGCCTGGGTTATCCTCTACATGGGTTCTTGAAACCCTGCGCTCACAATCACAGCCCACAGGGAACCAGACTTGGGGGCTGAAACATTCCCAAGGCAGTGACTTCCAGACGCTGCTGGCTGACTGTGCTGGTCGGCGAGACATTTTCACTGCCTGCTGTTGAATGAGCAAAACTACGGGCAATGGGCTGAGGTTTCATATAGCTACTGTACTTGCTTTAAAATGATGGCGTTTTTGCTCTTCACTCATGTCTTTCCACAGGGGAGAGGATAAAAGAAGTGATAGAAGTGGTGGTGATAAAAAATAATTTTCTTTAGTTGATAAAATAAAAAGTTGGCAATTCAACAAATATATATTCTTGTCTGTGAAGTCCAAAGACTTAGGAACCACTGCCTTAAGGGAGTAAAAGAATCACTTAGATCAGTAGATTTGTGTAATAATAATAATAATAATAATAATAATAATACAATAGCAGCTCTATGGTGTTCATTTATGGCAGACTATCTGGAGTCATCTGCCCAAGGAAGTACTGTTCTCTACCTCTGACCCCCTCTCTGTAGACGAACAAAACAAACACCCCAGATTCTTGACTTGTACTACCTCGATATGAAACAGGGACAGATCCAAAGGAAGTGCTAATAAAACCGGTTTTTCATCGCCCTGACACTGTCCATCAGACTAGATGTATGGGTTCCAAGCTGGAGAGGAGGAAAAGAGTGTTATTGAAGAGGCAAAAAGAAACAAGGTAAGAGAATGTAAATGGGTCTTGCCCTGTCCCTCCCCACCCCTGTTGTCCCTGTTGGTGGGGGAGACATGAATGACATGCTGGGGAGTGAGGACAAAGCTGAGAATTGAGCAGCTTTTTGCCCTCCTTTTTGTCTGAGATGCTTCAAGGTGGAGGACTTACACAAAGCCAGAAGGGGCAGAAGGGGCAGCAGAGAAGGCAACAGACATCCTTCAATAGAACACAGAGCGAAGACTCTCTCCCTAGCTCCCCCTGGCTCTCACGTGGTGTGAGAGAGGACAAGGAAGTTTCTCTTGCTTCTAATTGGAAGGGACTTTGGAGGTCAGCTAAGGAGACAGCCATAGTCCTTATAGGCTGCCTCTCAAAATGAAGCGACAGGGACCAGCAGGGCGCAGGGAGCCAGTCATCAGCCTATGCAGGAGCCAGGTGGGGACAGAGTTTGCAGAAAAACATTGTTGACCTCAGCCAGAGGGAACCACAGGCATCATCTATGCACGCAACAAAAAAGCCTACTGCAAACCTACGTAAGACCAACCTCAATAGGGAAAGTGAACTTTCCCACTCCTCACCACAACCAGCAGACTTATATTTGAAGTGAAGAAATTAGACTTACATTTGAAGTGAAGAAAACTGCATTTATTGCACACCCAACCTTATTAGTGTGAAGTTTATACCTATTCAACTAACAATTATTGAGTGCTAACTATGTGTCGAAAAATAGGGCTAGGTCATTATTTACATTATCCCATTTAATTCTCACTAGAACTCTATAAGGTACACACTTTTATTATTCCCATTTTACAGATGAGGACAGTAAAGGCTAGAGATGTAATAATTTGCACATGGTTACACAGCTGGGAAGTAGCCCATCTGCAATTCAAACCTAGGCAGGTTCATGTTCTTAACCACTATTATTTTATTTTCTCTTGTGGGCTTTTCAGGAAATGTGTATTTCCAGAAATAATTAAAACACAAGACAAGAGTAAGTGTGTTTGGGAGTAAAAAATATACATTTACTACTACCCACAAGTCCATTCGGAGTTTCTCATGAGATTGGCTGCTTAAAATGAACAACAGTAAGTTAATTAATTAAAGAAGTAATAAATGTAAATTTAATATAAAGAATATCAATTACTCAAGCAGAGGCACTGTAAATATATACTTAGAATTATAGTGAGGCACAATTAGAAGCAATGTGATTCTAGCACTAATACCTAGTAAGCAGAAGCTTCCATAGAGAATGGCATTTGTGTGCAATCATCAAAGAGAAAAAAATTCAGTGTCATATCCCTGAAATTCAAAGCCACATCTGATGAAAACCTGGCTGAGAGCAGCTCCTATTATCTCTAAGAACCAAGGAGAAAGGGTGGCTGAGTCCCTTATTCAGCAATTATCTGCTGAGCATCTACTGAACACAAGCCACTGGGTTGGGCATCAGGGACACAGAAGAGGAGTACAGGGAGATCCTCTCATGCATGTTTCCATCGCTCTTTAGTCAACAACCATGAGGTGGTACCGTTTGTCACATTTGCACGTATAAATCACTATCTTTGAAGGGAAAAGCTATGATTAAAAAAAAAGTATCACCATTGAGCACTACTTGTGTGACAATGTGCCCAGTGCTATATGCACAACTGATCATAAAGTCATAACCTCCTGAGGTCTGAATAGGTTTCACGACTAAATAGACTGTGAACACAAACCACAATGATAGCACTATTGAGTATGGTTCTAGTACTGCACACAAGCAGGTATTTAAGTCTCCTCTACCCTTTCCATACTAAAACTAATAAGGGAGGAAGCTGTTCATTGTAAATGTGATGTAAACTAGGCTTGCCACTGGCAAGTGGGTGGAGAGCCCGATTAAGGTTAACAAGGCCTCCACGCAAGTTGTTCCTCTTGCAAATTCAAATAATAACTGGGAACCAAAATAGATTTTTCTTTCTAAACTATTTGAGATCTTAATCTCAATAGTAGGATTTATTGTGAGGCAATCAACACATATGTACAAATACATACAGTATGCCTATTTAGCGGTAAGCAAAGGGAGAAAATAAATACTGGAGAGTGTTACAACGGTGCTGCATTTTATTGGGGGCTGAAGTTTGGGGATGGGTTGGGGAGTTGATCTAAGGTCAATCCCTAGGGCAGGACTTGGGCTCTTGGGGGCTTAAAAGCCAAACATGAAAATTGCCGTATTTTTCCATGTATAAGACACCCCCCATGTTCAAGATGGGCTCCCCCCTCCCACTTTTCCAGCCCAAAATTAAGAAATCAATATTCTAAACATTTTGCTGGTTTTCCTCTTAAGGCCTTCTTCTTTTTTGGCATCTTAAGGAGTTGTTCTTCCTGTTTTCTCCACTGTCTGATCATACACTCAGTGGGAGGAGGTCCAAACTGTCTCTCTGCAGCTCTATTTCCATGCTTTTTTTCATAGCTGATTACATTCAGTTTGAACTTTGCAGAGTAAGACAATCACTTACCAGTATTTATATATTTTTTGACATGTTTATGGGCTCAGAATGCTCTGGTCCCTCTCCACTTCCACCTCCAATTGTGGCATCAGCTGATGTCAGTAACAACAAGGCTCATGATTAGAGGAAGCCTAATTGACAAGGTATGGGCAGCTACGCACCCATGCAGCTCCCTCCTTGGCTGACTTCTGTGTATAAGATGCCCCTCGATTTCCAGTCTAACGATGTTAGAAAAAAATAGCATCTTATACACGGAAAAATGTGATAACTATTTTGTTTTTTCTGCTTATTGAGCCTCCTAAGTCAGTGGACACCCAAGACTAGTTTAAATGTTAGAATCCAAAGTAATTTCAAAGTCATCTTATACCATGCATGATCATATTGTGTCTATCATTTGTTAAAATGATATAAGAAAAAAACCCAAATAATCATAATAAAAACAAAACACCCTCTAAAAATGAAAATAATTAAGAATACAAATGATCCTAAATCAGGCTTTACCTATAGCGATGGCTTTCTGCTGTGTCAACTTGGCTAGGCTGAACTACATTCCCCGAATTCCCTTCCTAGTATGTTGCCAGACAGGGTGAGCTACAAGAGTTTCCTCTTTCCAGGGATGGAGGACGGAAGGGAGGCTGCAGCTATTTGTAGCAAACACACACATTCTACTGAAACAATCAACCTGTGCTACCGTGAAAGAATATTACCAAATTACAGTCCCTAATCAGTTGACCCTAAATTAATCAAAATGGAGATTATCCTGGGTGGTCTAAATACATTGGATACTTTTTCAAAGTGGGCGGGGGCCCTCTCAAAGTTCAGCTCATGCCCTGCAGTTTCAGCTTTCTGGTGATCTTGCCTTCCTGACAGTTCTGGGGAATTAGCCAGTCACCACCAATGTAGCCAATTCCCCGTAATCAATTCTTTAATATACATACAGATGCAGCTCCTACTGGGTCCGCTGCTCTAGCCGAACCTGGATTAATACACCTACTTTCATTCCTTCAATAAATACTCACTGGAATCCTACAGCAGTCCTGCACTAGGCTGAAAGAACAAAGTCACTGCCCTGAAGCAATTTTCAATACTTCTCTTGTGCAGACTTTCTTTCTAGCTACTTTTTTCAGAGGCCTGGTCATCAGAATACAAGATATACACAGAAAGATTTTAAATACCTTAAAAGTTTAAATTATTCACAGCTATTTAAGGAAGTTTGAGCTTTTCCTTGCCCCCTAATGCACATCAAAGGCTAGCTGGCCTTCTTTATGTCCTCTTTTGAAACGTATCTATTTAGATCCATTGCCCATTTTTTGATTGGGTTGTTTATCTTCCTTTTGTTAAGTTGTATGAGTTCCCT